AGGACCGCTGATAGCTTCTAGGATTCTGACTGATAGTTCTTTGTTCTGACAAACCTCAGTAACTGAATAACCTACTGTCGTAAGCTGCACTGAGATCCATGCAAATGAGAAAAACAAGCGTGTGCAGGGGAATTGGGTAAAGGAAAGAAAGCTCAGAAGATAGAGCTATGTGTTGTGGAGGATGTCACTCAGTAAATACTGCCAGAAGTACGTTTTTTTCTTAGAAAGTTACTTTTCTTTCCCACCGCCATATTTGAATCAGGCAAACAATGTCTCCTTAGTATCTGCTGACGCCAGCATCTACCCCAATGCCGAATGCACAGAAACTCAAGGTTCTTGGGGATGGTTCATACTATCTTTTTCTAATGTGTTTGGTACAGGGTCTCACTATGCAGATCAGCTTCATAGTGGTCCCCCATGATGGAATACTACTCCTTTTCAGCCTCTCCAGCACTGGGATTGCAGGTGTACCACCATGCCCAGTCTTGGTGGCCCACTCTGAGCATCCAGGGTGGGGCCAGCACAGCATGTGGTGCTGGGGATCGAACCCGGTCCCTGTGCTCGCCTAGGCAGGCGCTTAGTCCACCGAGCCATCTCTGTGGCCCATCACACTATTTTCACAGAACTTATACATATTCTCAGATGCAGTGTTTATCATCAGAAGAGTACTAATAACACTTAAGAACATGTAAATGTATATAAATAAAAGTTATGCTCTATTATATAGGGAATGATGGTAAGTTTTCAAGACTGTACTTGCCAAGTTTAACCACAAATTTTATTAATTTTTTTTATTTTAGCATAGTGTGAGTAGATTATAATAAAATGCGAAAAGTTTTCTTGTTACTTCTAATAATAGTTATTTCAGTATGTGTGATAATCTTAAAAGAATGACCAAAATGATACTAAGTATCAGCCAAGACTTTCTCTTCAAAGAACTAAGAGAAATGAGTAGTATAAATGAAATAGATTAGCATATAGTTTAGAATATTTTGAAACAATGAAACATAGAGTTTGGGGAATTGTTGGATCTGTCTGTCTGTCTCTCTGTCTCTCTCTGACTCTCTGTCTCTCTCTGTCTCTCTCTGTCTCTCTCTGTCTCTGTCTCTCTGTCTCTCTCTGTCTCTCCCCTCTCTGTCTCTCTCTGTCTCTTTCTCCTCTCTCTGTCTCTCTCTCTTCTCTCTCTCTGTCTCTCTCTGTCTCTCTCTCTCCTCTCTCTGTCTCTCTCTGTCTCTCTGTCTCTCTCTCCTCTCTCTCTCTCTGTCTCTCTCTGTCTCTCTCTCCTCTCTCTCTGTCTCTCTTTCTGTCTCTCTCTGTCTCTGTCTCTCTCTATCTCTGTCTCTCTCTCTGTCTCTCTCTCTGTCTCTCTCTGTCTCTCTTTCTCTCTGTCTCTCTCTGTCTCTGTCTCTCTCTCTGTCTCTCTCTCCTCTCTGTTTCTCTCTCTGTCTCTCTCTCTCCCCCCATGTTTCACTCTCTCCATGTATATAATTTCTTAGAGTTGAAGAAAACGTGTTACAAGACTGCATGCACATCGATGTTTATTTGATATGAGAACAAGGTACAATGACTAGATCTCAGAAATTGTTTCTGTGCCCTTCAACAGTAAATAGATGAACATATGATATACATACATGATGGAATACTACTTCTTAATTAAGATAAATTTGAGACATTCATAGGCAAATAGATACAACTAAACATGATCTTAAGTGTAATAAACTGGACACACTTTAAAGAAGCATTTTCTGTATGCAGAGGGTGAATCTTGGGATAGCAAGGCTCTGACTATGGAGTGTTGACAATATATTGGTGCTAGTTTCTCAAGGATTCATCTCTCACTCAAAAAAGAAAGCAAAACAAGACAGAATGTATTGAGAGAATGAGAACAAAAGAAATAAAGGCACACCACTATCCCACCACTCCTTACTGTTGGCCTAGGAACTCTTTCTGTATATCGTCATCCAACCCATAGGAGGCGTCACAACCATCAGCTTCCTTAAGTAGCTACTGGACAGATGGACTGATGAGGGAAAAAAGGAAAGCTCTGAGGTGTGCTGCAGGAGGCAGCCTTGGAGACAGCTCAAGGCTGTGAGGCTGTGTGCTGGCTTGAAGAGATCTTCCAGGTGGAAGGACAGAAAGGCTGGCTGGGCCACACACTGCAGAAGATGGT